CACAAAATGCCAGCCCCTAGGGCATCCTCCTGGGGCTTGACTGCCCACTGGTCCTCAGAACCACCCCACGGTGCAGCCCCTCACACAACATGTGGCAGGTTCCCCAGGAGGCCCGAGCAGGCCTGGGACGGATGGGAAGTCAGCGTGCCCAGCGAGGGGACACATGGGATGCACTGGGGTTTCAGCCCACGTCGTCCCCACAAAGTGAAGACGGCAGCGATGAAGCAACACATCACAGCGGTGAGGACACCGGTCTGACCCCGCAGGTGCCAGCGCTGCGTGGGTGCGCCACCTGCTGCCAGGGCTGTGGGGAGGGAGGCGAGCAGCCCTGTCTGAGAGCCTGAGCGGGGACCCGCCCGAGAGAACGGAGGGCAGAGTCTGAAGGGCAGCTGAGTGTCGGAGCCGCCCCTTGACTGCTCAAACCATGGCGGGGTGGACGCAGGCGCCCTTCCTTGTGGACACTGGGCAGCTGCTCAGAGGCCTGCTGGGAGAGGGTCATTCCACCAGCGGAGCAGCACAGAAACCCCTCAATCAGCACCTGGGGGGCTTCCCAAGGGTCCCCAGGTGACTGTGGCTATGGGTGCCCCAGCTTAGAGGTGACAGAAAGCCACCCAATGACCAACAAAGAGAAGGTGCCCTGAACATAGCAGGTATGCACCAGTTGGCCAGGACGCGCACCAGCCTGGACAGGCTGAGGGTGCCGCTTAGCAAACGCCAAAAATCAAGCCCACGGCCATCGAGTCAACCCCAACTCAGCCGACCTTGTAGGACAGATGAGAGCCGCCCGTGGGCACTACACAAACAGCCAGCCTGGCAGCAGTCGGATGCTTAACCTGCTGCACCACTGGAGCACCTCTCTACAACTGGGCTCAAGTCTGGTGCATAAGAGAGCGAAATGGGAGGGTGAGGTCAGTCAGCAGAGAAGCCCCCTGGATCCCGCGTGAGCCCAGCCCTTCCCCGGCGACAGACTCCGGTGTGGGGCTGCTCACAGGCCCAGCCCAGGGGGAGCACAAGTCCCCTGTGTGCCTCATGTCACTGTCCCCTGAGGGCCCCGTGCCAGACACACTGCCCACCTAGCCAGAATAGCAACGGGAGCCCCCATTGCACAGGGCGGCGCTGTGTCCCCGGGCACGTGGAGCCGCGTGGACACCCTAATTTGGCGCACAGCCCGACGTTCATGCTGATGGCTGCTTCTCTTAATTGCAGTGTCTGGATCAGGAGAATGAGGCCCTGGAGTAGCAGGCAAGGGGGGCCCTCAAATGTGCTCCCCGCAAGTGTGCTCAGAGAGCTACATCTCGGAACCACACTGTTCCACGTCAGCCAGGCCTGATGCTAATCTGCTTCCTTCAGTCACTGCCACCCCTTCTCTTTCACAAGGCCCAGCGCAAGCCTGCCTGAGGGCCCAGGAGAGGAGCCCTGGCCGCCAGGGCCTGGCCAACCAGATGCAACAACACCCCCACCCCCGGCACTGAGCAGAGACGCAGCCCAGGCGGAGCCTGTGAACAGGACCCAAGGATGTGGGAACGTAATGACGGCAGTGGTTGGAGTGTCAACGGGCCAACCAAAGGGAGGATGGCTTCAGGCCCTTGCCTGCAGGGGCCTGGCTACCCTTCCTGAAGCTTGAAGCCAGGACAAAACACGCGCTGTCAGAGCAGCCAACAAGGTCATGGTGGGGGTGTACACGCTGCGGCAGCTTGATTTCCAAGAGAAGCCACAGGCGAGAAAGGCTGACTACAGCCCCAGTGCCTTACTCCCCCCCCAACACCCCCCAGCTGAATGCCCTCCCTCTCCTTGCCTGCTGCCAGAGCAGCAGCCAGGTGGTGAGTCAGCACCCCACCCCCACCCCGCCCAGGCTTTACTTGGGCCAGGGCCCCTGGGAAGGGGACCAGGAGGCCACAACAAGAGTGCAGGACTCGAGCACAGCGCCCACCCACACGGGGTGGCCATGTGTGCAGGTAACATGCATAGCAAGCAGTTGTCCCATTAGGCCAGCCCGGCCGTGCTGGGCAGAGGCCAAGGTGAGCAGCCAGGGAGACTCTGAAGGACAGACAGGTAGTAATGCCAAAGGCCTGCTGACCAGGGCAATCGTGCCCTTCTCTGTTACCCTGGCAACAAGCCACCAGCAGACCCAGCCCTCCGCGTCCCAGCAGTTAGCAGCAGGCACACGGACACCTGCTCAGGTGGCCGGGTTCTCGGGAGTCCCCAGCCCCTCTCCACCCCGCTTGCCTTCACCCAGAGCCCTCTCGGCAGTTTCCCCAGAGGCTGGCCTCCAGGGAGTGAGGGGCACTGTCCCCGCGAGCCAAGGGCAAGGAGCTGAGGGATGCATGCTGGGAGGAGCCGCCAGCTGCACCAGCCAGTCCGCCAGTCTATGGTCTATGTCCCCATAGACCTAAGGGGACACAGGATATGAGGGACCAGCCCCACTAAAAGGCAAGGACTCAAAGAAACCCCTATCCCTCATCTGAAACAGAGGCCGCCACCCCACTCTGATCTTCTGAAGAGGGCCTGGGGCAACCCCAAAGCCGAGAGGGTGGCCTCGGCACTGTCATTACCAGGGGCCACTCCAGCCACGCAGCCCAGACGCGGGGGGACGCTGGCGCTGTCACGGCATTGGTGCTTTTGTGCTCAGAAGGCCTGGCTGGAAAGACAGACTGCTCCCGGGCCCTGGCAGCCGGTGTCAGTGCCATCTCCTCGTCTTCCTCCACCTCCACGCTGCGCTCCCCAACAGCCTGGGCCTGCGCCCTGCCCCTCGCTGTTCCAGCCTGGAATGCTGTGGACAGCGGTCACACACAAGAGCCCCAGCAACAGCACCTGCCCAGACTTTGTCCATGAGAAGCTGACACGTTGGCCCTGTACCCTGATACCTGCCCACTTCCTCCTGCGCCCAGCCTACCTGAGCCAGAGAGGCTTCTGCCTGTAGGGGCGGGAGCTGTGCCCAGGTGAAGGAAGGGGCACCAGCCAATGGCAGGGGACTAAGTCTGTCCTCTAAGGCCTCCCCTCTTCCCCGGGTTGGGGGGGGGCGGATTTGCCCCTTGCACCAGTCTTTCCGGCCCCCAAGACTTGCCACCTTTCTGGAATTTTAGATAAAATGTTAAGCCTGGGGGAGATGAAGAAAGGGGCTGAGAGGGGAGCCAGGGAGCCGGTGAGGAAACATGCAAAACCAGGCTGTCCCCTGCTTCCCGCAGCTCCAGTGAGCTGTCAGGGGAGTAAAGGCAATGGGGTCAGCAGGAGCGGCCAAGAGTGGGCGGGCTTGCTCTGCAGCACTGGAGCCCAGTTGCTGCAGGGTCTTTGGGGGGAAAATCTCAGCCTTTGGAAGACCATCTTCCCCAACCCAGAAACCCAGCGGTCAGGACGCAGCCGTCCTTGGGGCGTCACTGCCAACCAATCCCGGGCTGTAAACACTCATTATCATTCAAGTAATAAAATAACCAAAAACATTCAAAAAATAAAATAACTGGCACAGCAGGCGGGGGTCTGATGACCACCACCACCCACGAGCATCATAAACCGACCCTGGCTGCC